AGCAGCGGGGAAGATAGAGCACCAGCCGCCACCACCCTCTTCGATGCCGCTACACCCAATTCCCTAACCTCTGCCCGCCACCTAATTGAAGACAACCCAAGAAAAAACCCACCCCTTCGATTTCACCCACCACCACTCACCACTGCCTAGGTTTCCAATCAAACCCCAATTAATTAGTGGCCATCAGAGACTCTTGGTCCGCCGCCGGCGACGACAGACCCTTCTGTCCTTCCTCCCAACGACCACAAAGGCTTTCATATCTCCAATCAAAATCAACCAAATCACCACTCACCACCACTAACACCGCTGTTGTCGTCAATTTCACCACCGTGGATCGTCAATGGAGATGATCCATCTTGGCCACTGGCAAGGTAGATGAGGGCATGTGAATCCGCTTGTCCAACGGATTTCTTGATACAATAAAATGTTTTCAACAACAAGTGGAAGCTTTGACTCGCACCATCTCTCGTCAACCACGGTGCCATCACCACCACCATCTCTCTGCACCCACTGCCACAACCACAGCCACCACCACCGTCCATAACTAGGGCTACAAAACCACCCCCAAATTTTTCTTCTTTCCTTTCTTGCACACACACACACACACACACACATAAATATACATAGAGAATTGAAATTGCTTCTTCCCTTTCTTGCGCACGCACACACATAGATACATATATACACAAACAAATTATGTTCTTCCCTCTCTTGCACACACACATACATAGATACATATACCACAAACACACACATAAACACACCCACCCGAAATTGCACAGAAATTGGGGATTTGTAATTTCTCCATCAAAACGAAGACAAATAATTGAAATCGCCACCACTGCAACCACATATCTAAGAGCAAACGAGCCGCCACCGCTGAGGACGATGACGACTACTCAACCTTCCTCAACCTCTCCCTCATCAAAGCTATTGACAGATCCCAAAATGGCATCGTAGGGCTATGATATCTCTCTCTTTCCATTTTGTATTTTGTGATATTTGGTAGCTCTATTTCGAGCACCATGGTGGTGGGTCTGGTGGCAACTATGGTATGGCTGTGAAATGGGTGGTGGCGGGTGTGAACTGGTCGTGGTGGCTGTTGGTTAGGTTACTAGGGTATTTTGGTCAATTAAAAATAATTGTATTGGATAAATTGGTAATTGAATGTGTCAAAGGATAATAATGTCAATTCACCATGTGTAATGACCATTGGGGTGTTTTTGTTAACTTTATTAAACTTAAGGGGGTGTCTTTGTCCAAAAAATGACTAACTTGTATATAGCTGTCATTATAGCAAACCTCAGGGGGTGTCATTATAATTAACCCAAAATAATTTTATATGAAATTAAAAAAGACTTAAAAAGGAGAAATTCCATCGTACATATTTTTTTGTCAATAACATAATTTTATTAGATTAATCAATGACATTTTGGCCTAATGTATCTTCTCTACCTCTCAAAGTAAATGATTAGGGTTGAAATAACAAATAAGTTGAAAAGGTAAATCTTTTAGAGTAAATGACAAAACTAATCGAAATTAAGATAAGATGAAGTTATTAAAAAAATTAAATTAAATACACAATATTATAGGAGACAAGGCTTTTAACATAAAGTGACCAAAAAAGAGTGAATTCGCTTCGCAGATTTCATTTAATATGATTAAGGCAATGACGAAGAGGACATATTCACATATTTTAAGTTCAAGACATTAGCACATATTTTAAGTTCAGGCATTGATAGTCACTGTCCCAATGCACCAGAAATCATTGGAGAGGAGAGAAGGTGAGGGATTCGAGTTCCATAAGAGACATTTGTGCCTCTGTGTGTATGTATGACACATAATATTTACCCGACGAGAACATATTCACATATTTTAAGTTCAAGACATTAGCACATATTTTAAGTTCAGGCATTGATACTCACCGTCCCAATGCACCAGAAACCATTGGAGAGGAGAGAAGGTGAGGGATTCGAGTTCCACAGTGGACATCTGTGCCTCTGTGTATGTATAACATAGAATATTTACCCGACGAAGACATATTCACATATTTTAAGTTCAAGACATTAGCACATATTTTAAGTCACCGTCCCAATGCAGCAGAAACCATTGGAGAGGAGAGAAGGTGAGGGATTCAAGTTCCATAGTGGACATTTGTGCCTCTCTGTGTATGTATGACAAAATATTTACCCGACGAGGACATATTCACATATTTTAAGTTCAAGACATTAGCACATATTTTAAGTTCAGGCATTGATACTCACCGTCCCAATGCACTAGAAACCATTGGAGAGGAGAGAAGGTGAGGGATTCGAGTTCCATAGTGGACATTTTGTGCCTCTGTGTATGTATGACACAGAATATTTACCTGACGAGGACATATTCACATATTTTAAGTTCAAGACATTAGCACATATTAAAGTCACTGTCCCAATGCACCAAAAACCATTGGAGAGGAGAGAAGGTGAAGATTTTCGTACACACTACAGATATCAAACAACTACATCTGACAGTGACAGTGAATCAGAAGAGCAAATCAATGTTCTATCTGATCAATCTGATTCTGAAGAATTTAATAATTCCGAAGACTCGGAATCTGTTGACGAAGAAATTCAAGCTGAACCACAGCCAGAATCTTCCTCTACCAACAAAAGAAAAAGGGAATCTGACACTGTTTTGGATCAATCATTTTATGGTGATTTTCCTTCAGCAGAAGAGATACTCCCTACAGAAGAAACCACGGTACCAACCGGTACTACTCCGGCAAGTACTAGTAGTCCTGCGAAATCGGTTGAGGGTCAATCATCCTCCGTTAATGATCCCAGTCCATCCTTTACTCGAAAGGATGATCTAAACAAGTACCTAATTGCACAAAATGGTACTTATCTTGATCTTTCACATGTCCCATATAAAGATCATTTAAAAACTATTGACGAATGGGCACAGTCACTAGCCATTCTAGTCAACAAGCAGAAAGCGCACTGGTCAAAGGAACGTTTTCTCGATTACATAGCCTCCTCTTTGAAGATGCAAATTTTGCTCTTTCCAAAATTAAATTATGTGATATTTGTCGTTTTCCTGAATATGTCAAATTATTTACCAAATATTTTCGACGTCCACCCATTACTAGCACAGAACACTGGTTACCACAGTTTTTTGTTAAACTTCCAAGTCCTTGGGATGAATTAGCCACAAAAGGTTATCCAGACTTCTTAGAACGCATTAAGAGAACCAATAACCTTGGTTTTCGAACTAATTTCATTTTACCGACTTATAAACGAAAATTGTTTAGAAGTCCAAAGCCAAAAAATAGGTTAAGAATCAAATCAGCAACACACCAGCCGGACAACGCTGTTGTGATAAGATTCTCCACAAAACTTGGAAAATAGGTTGCTCACCAGACAAATCCTACCCCCAGCATTCTTTTCGCAAAAAGCGATTCAAATGGCGAAAATGGAAGCCTGACAAAAAGCCTGTTCAGAAAAAGAAGAAGTATATCAAACGAAATACTTCAAAAACCAAAGCAAAGGCATCTAGAAAGAAGAAGAAAGGATGCAAATGATATATCTGCGATGAAGAAAGCCACGTCACCCCCAGTTGCCCAAAAAAAGGGTAAAAGAACTTCCAAGATGACTAAAAGGATCGAAACAGAAGATCTTTGTGTCATCTATGGTCATGATCTTTCTGATTCAGATAATATTCTTTACGAAATATCTAGTGAATCAGAATCAAGCGACAGTGATGAAGAAGTCTACATGCTCAATTTTACTTCTCATCCCGAAGAAGAATCCTCTAACATTAAGCTCAGCAAGGTTATTAGAGAAGAAATTCAGTTTACGAACGAACAACTCAAAGATATACTCTTCAAAACCTTCTTGATGATCCAAACATCGAAAAAGTTTTGAAAGTCAAAATCAAACTCTCGAATCTTCAGATGGATCATAACTCTCCAGGTCTAGGAATTCAATGGAAAGTTCTCTATGAACTAACCAAAGAACCTGAAACTTCTACCCTTCCGATTGACCCCAAACTGGTCACTCTTTTTGAACCTCGACCCTTCGATTCAATAATTGAGCCAAAATTATTGAAATGGACAGATCTCGATATACCAAGAAATTGGCTATTCGAAGGTATCAATACAGAAAAGAAACTAAGAATAGAGGAACCAACAGTTACCACTATTCAAGCTTCTGGATCTAATCTCTATATCACCAATACAGAGAAACCTTACCTCCAAAGATCAGTCTCGGCACGACAACCTCATGAACCGACAGGATGGTATAAGCTCCTCCCTCCTCAACTGTCCAATATCCAGCCTTTAGAAAAAGGAAAACGTATCCTCACAGAAAAAGGAGTACCTATCCTTCCTGGATCAAATCACTCGATTCAAACCGCAAGATTCTTTCATTTCAGTTCCACAGTGGACATTTGTGCCTCTATGTATGACACAGAATATTTACCCGATGAGGACATATTCACATATTTTAAGTTCAAGACATTAGCACATATTTTAAGTTCAGGCATTGATACTCACCGTCCCAATGCACTAGAAACCATTGGAGAGGAAAGAAGGTGAGGGATTCGAGTTCCATAGTGGACATTTATGCCTCTCTATGTATGTATGACACAGAATATCATCGTAAGGATGAAAAGGGGCAAATGTTTCTTTGTATCCCCCTTCAATCCAAACCTAGTTAAAACATACAGAACCCTTTTCCATCCTGCTCACACATCAAATCAGAGAAGGATAACTTCCTCATACAAACTGTCTTTTCTCTCCCTCTCATACAGCTTCCATTTTTCATCCTTCTACAAACATGCCATTACCATAACTTGTAATGCAAGAACCCTAGGTTACAAGTTACAACAACCATCAAGGGCAAAAAAGGGAAAAGGAAAAAAAAGTATATGCACGATATTACAAGACCCCCTCCTGGCTTTATGGATGAACTCACTAATCAAATCTTTCGCGCATTGAATCGACAATTGGCCAACCAAAGGAAGTGAAATGAAACATTTTTTTAACATGCAATTTAATATTTACTTCAACGTGAAAGGAAAAAGACCAATTCTATCTTTCTACTAGTTTCGCTAAAAGGCAGTCTAGTGAAGGCCTTTGGTGTTGTATTATTGTAACTTATATCAAAATGAAAACACGAGGACTCAGCACTGTGTGGTAGATATAACCTTTCTGCCAATGATTTTATACAGACGATAAATTGATTTTTCAATAGAGAGATCAAACAAATTCTGCTTACTTCTTCTTCCGGACTTCATAAAAGTAACTTAGGATCGCCACAGCGGCAGCAACAGCAACACCGAAAGCACTTTGTGCCAATATGATGCTTTCCTTCACTGCTACCTTGGAACCAGAGGAACTTGGAGTGAACCCTAGCTCAGAAAGTTTCTTGTGTGATATTGCATAATCTCTGAAGAAAGCATCCTCATCCTGCAAGATGACAAAATAAAGCATGAACTAAGAGTTGAAAATTAAACCAAAAAGTATCTTATCAAATGAAAACAGTTGACTTGACCTCTCAGCACGTCGGATAGTCCAAAATATATTAGCTGAAAGATTGAGATATTCTCCTATTTTGGGTTTTAGATGGCAAAGACATCTTTTTTAGCTGGAATGGCACTTGATTGCTTGCAATTGGTCAGGTGTGGGTTGGTTGGGAGGGCACCACAATAAATTCATGTTTTCAGAACAAGGGAGAAAATAAAGAAAAAGAATGAGAAAGCATTCATCCTAGACCCAACCGACCCAGCCAATAATTAAGGGCCAACAAACCAAAACCAATTTACCAACCCAATCATTTTCTTTACAAATATCCATTAAGGATTCGAGACCTAACTTAATGACAAGAACAAAATAAATGTGCAAATGTCAATTAGCTCCTAATAGTTGACTAAGCGTGCACTCTGAACCAGCCTGCTTGAAATCAGCTAATTCAGTTGCCAAAACTGGTCCATCCAAGACTAGTGTACTTCATGTGTATGGGCTTATACTTATCAAAAAAAACAAAAAAAAAAAAGAAATATGTATGGGCTTACGACCTCCCTTACCGGAGTTAGAAGCCCTAACATCTCCAAACAGTTGACGCAACATGACAAATTTACCCTCAATAAATTTGTAACTGTAATTTTTGAATTTGAGACATCATTATAAAGTGGAGGAATTTCAGAACTTCCCTGACAACAATTCTGGGATTTTACGCCTCTTCGAATTCTGAATTCTGAGGCACATTGACAACCATAAAAGAAGAAAGGAAAGGAAAAGAACACTGATACCTGTTTGCAGATACCTTCAATTTCTACCATTCACAATCAAGGACCTGAATTCATCCTTAAATTTCCTCTTTTGTCCCATTCATGCTCTGTTACATATTGAATCTATGCTATGTTATGGATTCAAGAACTTGATTCTAGTGTATGGTGGAGAGAGAAAGAGAGAGAGAGAGTCAAGGAGGTGGTGGCTGTAGAAGGAGGTGGTGATGGCATTGCACTGGTTGTCTGAATTAGAAGATAGGATCTGGTTTGGTTCTTCAACCCCAAGTCGTGCCTATGACATTTGTATATGTGTGTGTGTGTGTCTGTGTTGAGTAATATACGTATATAATCTGCATCTGTATATTAATTATGTATATAGGCTCTGTGTGAGTGTGTTTGTGTGTGTGTGTGTGTGTGTAAATTGGAGTAAGGAAAGAAGAACGAACAAGAAACATGAAGGTTTTAGGGAAGGAAAGACCATAAAAAAGTCATGGGAAAGAGAGAGTGTTTTGTGATTTTAATACCTTTAATATGGAAATTGTTGCCCTCTCTCCGTTAGAGGAATGCAGGGAGGGAAATTTTTATATAGAACGCCATGAAGGCAAAACTGCTTGCAAGAAGCAAAGATGGAACTACTGTGCTATTGGATGTGGAAGCTCACCAGATATCAGACCACTAGTGTCATGATTTTCAACATGCTTGTAATTCTACACTGCTGCTGCTCTTAAGATCATCAAATGGCCATTACATGAGTTTTAAAACCAGCTAAAATAGTAGTGATATGAAAATCAAATGCAAATAAAATGACTACGCAATGCTAATCTCTTCCAGGAAATGGTTAAATTCATCATTTATAATTTTGAACAGGGTTAATAGTCTCATTTTGTTACATGAAAGGGTAATAACGCCATTCTGAGAAACATCTTTTAAACGGGTTTAGCGGATCCCTAACATATAGAAAATAATCTGTATTTTTGCCATAACCTCAAGGCAGGTTGATCATAATTTTTGAAGAAAGCTATAATGCGTGGATGCAAGCTGCAAGCTGCAAGCCTCACATAGGTCAGCGCATTTTATCCTAGTATCTGATATCTAGAACAACATAATGTTTTTATGTAGCATAGTGTTCAACATAGGCATTGCACTCTTTTTAATGCTATAAAGTAGTAACCTTATATCATTGGTTATTCATGTTTCTGACATAAGAACTACAAGTACTTTTGAAACATTCATGTAACATAGGTATTGCCAAGTCCAAATTAGATTGTCTAACACCGCAGCATAGATCACATTGAATTGCCATTAAATGCAACCCTTTGAGGATGGAAATAAGCCAAGTAGGTTGCTCAAGCTCAACTTGAAGATTAACAATGTGATTGGCAAATTTCGTAGAACAAAACTCACTCAATATAATTTAATGTTTAAATGCTTAGTGAGTGAAATAGAAATAAATTAGTTAGATGAGTTAAGTGTGAAGATAAAGCTTGTTTGAAGAATTCTACATCAAAAGGGCAAAATCGTCCAAGAAATTTTATAAAGGGCGAAACAATCCAAAGATCAACTTCAAAGGGCAAAGATGTAATCTTCTCAAGTCTTAAAAAGGTATGAATCACACTTGATTTCATCTATCACCATTTAGGCACATGCAAACACATTATTCATGTTCATATGCTTTGTCTTGCATTGTAAAACCTAGAGGTTCATTTGTTTAATTTAATTTTACAAATTAGGAAAAAATAAGTTTTCACAAAAATATATATATGATATATTAAGATTAAGATTCTAGAGCTTTCTCTTAAATATATATAACATATATATACACATATATATTTTCTGAATTTATATAGAAGGTTTATTTTGTGCTTAGGACTATTTTTGCTAAGTTTCCAAGTTTTCTAAACTTACTTCTATAGCATAAAAAAAAAGGTTTTCCATAATTGCATTCATGCTTATATTGTTAGGTTCTAAGGTGTTGTTTGATAAAACTGAAAATTTTAAGAATTAAGTCCCGGAATTTTTAAGTGGTAATTAGAAAATAAATATTTTTTTATATTTTTTTGAATTTTTAACGTTCAGCATTCAAAGAAAAGTAATGTCCCTATCACTTAAAATTTTGCTATTGATAAGTAAATTTCATTTCAGGCACTCAAACGGGGAGAAACAAACCGCCTAACAGCGACATTACAACTTTAAGCTATCCACAAAATCCATTTTGCCCCATTTTAAGTGGCGCTTAGTGTTTTCATTTATATTCAAATTGTGTTATCAAACGCACTTAATCCGTTCAGAATTAAGCACTGAATTGAGTTATCAAATAACACTTGAGTTGCCTTAGACACGTTTTTTTTTAGTATGCATCACAAAAACCTTTTTCTAGAACCTTCATGGAGTATTCTTATGTGTAGAATAAAGTCTTGAAAAAAAATGTCAAAAACAGTATGTTGCATATACATCGATTATGTTGCATATACATTGATCGAACCCTGCATATCATTGATCGATCGAGTCTTCAGCAACTTCGATCGGCAAAAGCAGTAAGATCATCAATGAGAATAGTATCGATCAATCGAAGCTTCAGAAATGTTAGATCAATGGACATTTTTTTTTAACTCAGGATTTGTTTCCTTAAAAGAGTTTTCTTGATCTTTTTGTGTCATATTAATGAATCAAGTCTAAAATATTTTTCAACAGAAAAGACCAAAACTACTTCATTAGAATTTTCTTTTCATTTTACTTGGAAAACAAGTTCTCAACTTCGAGGAACAAGTTTACTTGGAGACCAAGGATATAGAAGTGAGGAGCAAGTATTGTTCCCTATAAATACGAGGTCTGAAAACATATCAGACCTAGAGTACTTACCTTATTGCACTCAGCATTCTTGTTTGTTTGTTTATTTATCCACGAGTGTTTTTGTGAGAGTTCTACTTGTGTATATCCATAAGAGAATCTGTGAGAGAGATTATCTTGTGAGAATTGTGTGAGAGTTGAGAGCACCACACTTGATATTTGTATCTTGTGTTTTTTTCTTTTACATCATATATACCATTTTTTTATAAGTAAAAAAAATAAAATTAATAAAAAATTCTTTTACCTCATACATACGTATCATTCTGCATTAAATATGGTGATTATGATGATATTATTGTGTTGATATTATTGTTGCGGTATAAGCTTGAAAAGTTAACATCAACACAAAGCCACAAGTGCTACAGGCCAAATCAAACCTATACCATAAAGTGGTGGACAGATTGGATTCCAAGGTGAAGAAGCAGTGCATGATGGGATTGATGTGGATCAATGGGATTATGTAGCTGTTAAATTGATAGGCTGGAGGACGACTAAAGAGATGTTCTAGAATGCGCCTAGTAGAGCAGGTTGAAACTGAGTATGGAGTAAATCAATTGTGGTGAACGACCATTGAGGATTTGTTGTCTTGCTGAGTCTGGAGGTAGGCTAGTGTTCATCATGTTGAACTGGACTGGTTGTACCCTCTTTCTTCATAGTGAATTTATTGGCTAAGCCAAGTCCCTTGATTTTTTTATCTACCAGTGGGGGTAGGGTTTTCCACGTATAAATCTGGTGTGCAAGTCTCTAAACTCATTTACTTGACTGTGCACCATATACTCCACCCCCAGGTTTAGTCTCAGTTGAAACTCTTCAATTAGACTCATTCTTGAGCTATCTGATAAAAACACCTTTCACTACTAATCTCAAATGAGCTTTTACTCTTAACATATCTTGATTCAATCTTAAACATCTTAGTTTTTTAGTGTTAGACGCTCATTAGCTTGTGGAGATGAATTCAAGCCAAACTCAACAAGTTGATGAGCTTCAAAATAATATTATGACTTTTATTTCGGCAGCCAATCTCAAGCAAAGCATTCAATGAGCCGATCATGAACCAAGCTTAAGTAGCTGGTTCATCTTAATACCTTCTAACACCACCGTCCTCTAATAGGTTAAGTATCACAGCCAACTTTGACCGAAAATCAGGTCAACTGAAACTTTCAAGCAACTATGTCACTCCTTACTTGTCTACCTTAAGCAGTGAAACCACCATTATAACCATTGCTAAATGGGATCACAAAATGAAAAATGATTTACAATTTTATACTTGTCATCTGGTCGATATAAGCCTACATTACCTTTGCATAGAGCTCAACATATTGGCGGAACTCAGGATCATCCAATAAAGCCGTGTCTGTTGGAAGTTTCAACAGCCCCTCTGATTCTTCCGTCAGCAGCTCCCTATTTCAGATATTATTATTTGTAGAATAAATTAGAAACAAACTCAAAGGCCTGTTTTTTACCAAGTTAGAGAAAAAGGAACAGAAGAATATGTTGAATTGATATGTAAATCTTACACAAAGTATGAATTATCAAACTTCAGAGGCTCCCTAGTCCAAGGGCCATCAAAACCCGATCTCTCCGGATGGCACCTGCCCTATAACATGAAAACCCAGCCAGACAATAAATGTTTTCTAAAGGAACCCTTAGTACAAACAATACTTGGTTAATATTTCAAAAACAATTATTGCGTTTTCAAGAGCAGAAAATGCTTTGATTTCAGTTCCAGAAGCAAGGCAAGTATTTTTAAAGTAACACCCATGAAAATAAATAAATAAATTAAATTAAATTAAATTAAAAAACTGTAAGGAAAAAGAAGAATACCAGAGTGTGGCCCCCTGACAGTGCCACGATATCCTTGTCAGATAAACCCATCCGATAGAATATGTCCCTCAGATGTGACACACCTACCATCAATATACACAAGAACATGCAAGATTCAACTTCTATACAGCTGCCATGAAACCTTATTAAACTGCACACCATATCATAATCATGTATAAACACAATTCTTCCACGGTTTCAAAGTGCTAAAAAACAGAAAATTAGGGGGGAAAGGAGAAATAGGAGCTGATTCTGGTCATTCTGTGAGTTCACAGTGATGCAAGGCACAGCTATCCTCAGAAGGCAGCATTCAACTTCTCCATGACATCTTCATATATTCTTTTTTTTTTTTTTTTTTCCCCTAGTTATCTCATAGATTCTTCAAAATGAAAAAGCACCACAGTCCACTAGAGTAGAATTGTAATGCTGATAATAATAATAATAATAATAGGGTAAAGTACAATGACACCTCCTGAGGTTTGGCATAAGGACAGACATATACAAGTTGCCCTATTTTTGGACAATGAAAAACCCTTGTCAAAAATTCGATCCAAACAGCCCCTAAAAATTGTAAAATGTCCAGACTGACCTTTAATATTTTATTAAATTAAATTATAAAATATCAAAACTCTTAAATGGCGTTTTTACCCTTATACACTCATTACACCTCTATATCAAAACTCTCATCCTCTGTTCAGTGACTGCTCTCTCTCTCTATGAAGCAGAACTATATGGAAAGCATCAAGAGAAAATTAGAAGGCAAAAGGAGAGAGAGAGAGAGAGAGAGAGAAAGCAAAAGAAATAAAGAATAAGTTTGAGAAGAAGAGAGGAGAATTTCTCGGCATGAGAGAGACCCAAGACAACCACCACTACCAAAACCCCACCTCAAGACCAGAAAGAGAACCCAAAAGTCATCATCACTAAAATCAATTGGCAACTTGAAATCAATCTCCACCAAAGGAGAAAAATATAAGGGAAAAAAATTACCAATTTGACATCTTCAACGGCAATCACTGTGGGGCTCTGTTGCGGTCGATCTGTGCATGCGGATTTGATCGGCCCCCATTTTTTCGGGCCTCCCTCGTCATCGTGAAGAAGTCACCGCCATCTTGAAGCCACCGTCTCACATCGCCATCGTCACGAGGCCGTCGTTCAAAGACATCAAAGAGTCCTGTCGGCAACGATTGATTCCTCTCTCTCTCTCTCTGTTGTTTTTTGGTGATTTTTTGGATTTTCGGTGAATTCTGGGTTTTATTTGCGCAAATGAACAGTGGTGGTGGTCGTGGTTGTGAGGGTTGGGATATTGGTAGTTACGGAAGTGGACGTGGTGGCGCTAGTTGTACGGTGGCGGTGGGTGAATACACAATGGTGGGTGGTTTTGGGGATGGAGACGGTGTGTTAATGGTGGTGGTTTTGGGGATGGACATGATGTTGGGTTTGAGGGAGAGGCAGTGGCTGTTTGTTTGGGTTAGGGTTTGAGAGGGAAAGAGAAGAAGAAAGTGAGGAGAGAGAAAAATTGGGTTTCTCAGATGGGTTGTACCAGGCAATCCATTTACACCTATTTAATCTAAGGGCATTTAAGTCAATCGAAAAGGGTTGTATGTGTCAAAGGGTAATAAAGTCAATTCACCATTATCATAGTGTCTTTGTCAACTTTATCAAACCTGAGGGGGTTCCATTGTCCAAAAATAGGTCAACTTGTATATGTATGTCCTTGTACCAAACCTTAGGGGGTGCCATTATACTTTACCCATAATTATATAACAGCAAAATGACAATATTAACAATCAACATACTCACTATAATGATTATAGTGTCCAATACTGGTCACTTTTATCAAACATGCTTGCAGCTATAAGCGCTTTAAGCATAACCTCGCAAATCTCACTTTTGTCCACTCATTAGCGAAACACCAATGCACTACTACATCTTTGAAAACTGAATGTGATTTAAATCCATCGCCTAGAATCCAAGTATCCAACTATTAAAAGCATACACCAACAGGCTCCAGATAGGATAATTACCTGAAAAAAGGCTTACATAGAACAACTGACTAGATGTGGAGCGAACAACCTAATTGGATGATCCCTAAGTTTTAACATGGGGGTAATTTAAATTAAGTGACATTAGTGTAAGGTAAATATGGTGTAGTCACCAACAGACCTGTGACCTAGCGGTATCAGGCCCCTACTTCCCAAAGGGAGGTCAGGAGTTCGAACCTCAGTGGAGGCATGTGCGTGTGAGTACCAACTAGGGAAAAAAAAATAAAAAATGGTGTAGTCAACAAACTATAGCTGAATGTGAAATTTCAGACATGGAATACAAGTATAGCAAAGTTAAGAGTTTGCGATGATAAAATAGGAATCAATAGAGGAAATCCTATGATTAAGAAGCTTCTTCCCCAGCCTGACACATGGACACCATATGAAGCTCCTTGAATCCCTTCAGGGACATTGATGAAAGTGGGAAGCTATCAATAAAGCACCCATGCATAGAGGGAATATAGACCCCACAATGCAATCCAACAGTGGAGTCTGTGTCATCTTACTAAAGTCAGACAGTTTTATGTACATGCATTTATGAAATGGATTTTTAAATGAATTTGAGATAACGGTCATAACGGTCCATTTGGTACGATGGAAGAGTGAGAGACGGAAAAGAATGAGGGGAGGGATGGATAGTCTCTCCATTAGCTGATGGGAGAGAAAGGAGATAGGAAGAGAAGAGAGAAACGGAAGGAATGCCCTTCCCTCCAGGGCCCGGCCCACCATATCCCTTCATCTCAAAAGTGGGAAAAGAGGAGAGCAAGGGACAACCCACCTCTTTTATACCTTTTTCCATCATATATAAATATTGTTTCAAGATGCAAGGATCTAGTGGTAAATTTGTGAAACAGCAATTACTTTATTTACTTCTTCCTTTAACTTAACCAAAAAAAAAAGTAAAAACAAAATAAAGTTCTTCTTTCCTCTAGGTATACCTTCTTCTTCTCCTACCTTTGCTTCCTTCCAAGTTCCAATAATCCATCACGCACATAAAATAGAGTAAACTTTCTGTGATTTTGATCAAGAGAAGAGCTGAATAGTTGTATCACAGGAGTTTCACCAAGCTATGGGTAGTTCCACAAGGCAGGTAAAATGCCAGTTTTCCAGGCATCTTAATTATCAGACATATTTATCATGCATCAGGGTAATCAGGAATGTAAACCACACAGATGCTACCCACCAACGACCCAATTTATGTCATCTTACTGGAACCAGATGGCTTCATGTACATGTTCTATGATATTGATATATTTTATGAATTTTAGACTCCAATTTCTGTATTTCAAACAACATAAAAAAGAGAATGCATAATTGCACCACGAGAGCTTCACAAATCTCTGGTTAGTTCCCTGTGGCAAGTAAAATGCCTGTCAACCAGGTATCTTAATCACAAGCCACTTAGCCTAATTCATCTGTTCTGAGATTTAATCAGTAAAACAGATATGTGGGTTTGTCAGCTAATGCTAGTTACTATTGGCACAACGATGACTGCAACTATAAATACTAATTATTACATACATACAAAATCTATGCTCCTTCAATAATTTAGAAATCTAATGACCATTTAGTCTTTTGGGGGGATGAAAAACAACATTTGGAGTCAGAACGGTGGTACCATGGTAGCAAGGTTCTAAATGTTCTTTTCCTTTTTCCACCTTGGACAAGCACATAAAATTCTATAATATACCCAATAATATAATCAGAAAATTGAATGCTTACAAGTCAAAAGAAAAGAAATCCAAGATTGAAAACTCTGATGATTGAGAAGCCACAACAGCTCTTGACAAATATCATTAAACAAACCAAAGACACACAAACTAATTTAGAAGTAGCATTAAATGACCTTTAGAAGCATTTGGAAGCCGTCCTTCCTTGGGAGAAACCTTCGAATCCTAGAAGAAAAGCAGCAGTTAACAAAGAGAAATTATATAAAGACAAGCTACTTTCAGATTATATGACATAATAACATACCTTCCTACCAGGAACAAAGTCAATGGTCGGACCACCAGTGACCTCAACTGCAACAACACCGGCAAGCTAAAAGCAAAATTGGTGTATACATGTCAAATTATCTTCTACACTTCATGTACACATACATAAAATAGCTTAATTAAGGTAAATTATATCTTTTATTCTCTATGAGTTTATATTTAAGTCAGATCGCACTTGTTACCCATCAGAGGAGAAAAAAAGGTCAGATCACAATTCTTGTATCTGTAAATGCTTTGAAGCAAATTCACAATAAACCTATATTAAATACAAATGGAAGCTGAATTCAAACGTACTCATTTAACCTATGTATGAAGACATTAATAAGCCTTTTGCCCATTATAATAAAGCCTCTAAATGAATGTGGTTGACACTTTCACTCATGCTTCAAATCTCAATTGCATTTAGAATTAAACTACTCGAAATTATCTACACATCAACGTGATCTGTTTGGTAGACGTTATCCTGCAGTTGATGTTCTGCTGGACCTGTTTTGGGGTTGAGTAGTCCTGGTGCTATGCAGGTGGGCTTGATTGGTTGCTGTGATGTGGCTGGCTGTTCTTATTTCAGTTGATTATGGTGCTTCTTATGTGCTGTTGTGTTCGCCTGTTGCTTCTTCTACCTGCTGTTGCAGTGTATTTGGTCTTCAGTGTAGTGGTGTGGTTGCTGTGGTTTGATTGGCATTGGTGCTTTGCTGTTTGGCTGTATTGCTGTGTGGTATTCTTTTTTGACAGTGGTTTGGAATGTCCTCTCTGCTGTTGCTGTTTGTATGTCGTGGTATTCTGGGGGATGGTTCTTCTCTGATGTGTTGATTGCTTCACTAGTTGCTGGTTTGACTTGGTTAGACAGTGTTTTCCTTATGTTGCTGTGGATGCTGTTCAGTTAGTTCAAGGTCTAGTTGATGACTCTTACTACAGTGTTTGCTGATAGGTAACACTTATATGTGCTGTCCTGATTTGAAATGTTCATTTTGTTGTAGTGCTGTTTTGTTTCTGTCTTTTGCTTTTCTGAGGGTGTTTGATGTCTTCAGTCTGTTGCTCTGTGATATTTGCATCTATGTGTGGTTGGCTTCCAATGGTATGCCCTTGAGTTTTTGTACTATATTGTTCATTTCTATAAAATTTTCCACTTTACCCAGAAAAAAATAATAGTAATAATTATCTACTAAGAAGTAATTATCTACACATCAGAACTTCTTAGTTAACTTACAGCATCAGTGACCCCCTTTTTGGACAGGAGCAACAAGAGAGGAAAAAAGTGAGCACAGCTTTTTGGACATAACCTTGGGGGATATTAAATAAATAATCTTTATCTCAACCATATTCCACAGTTGACACCTAACCAACAAAACAACAAACTAATATTTCCACCAGCTAACCTATGTGTATGCCCATATGTGTATCCCAGCATGCCCATATGTGCATTTATTTTTTCGTTTATTTATTTATATATTCTGATAAGGACGTATATGTCTGTGTGTTTATAAATATAAGTAGACCATCTAATGTTTCACATGACAATATAACCATCAGCATGTCATATTGCTTGACATATGTCAAACACCTGCCATGCTTAGCACCACTAACCATTATTACATAACCTGCAAAATCCTATCTTTATCTAAATTCCAGTACCAGTCACCTGATTCAACATGGTACTGTTGTATTACATACAATTAATTATGCATTTAGCACTCATATCAAGCACATTTATATATTTTTTTTATGTCGATGTCGCAATCACTGCTAAAGTAATGTTTTATTTAGCAGTTTTCTATATGTTAAATACCAGTGGATGGGTTACTTTTTTATTGGCATTGCAAACACATCACATCATGGCAGGGTATCAATTTAATGAATCTTCCACTTATTTGATGGGATGGTTAAGAGATTATTTATGGTTAAACTCTTCATATCAATGGATATAACCCCTTTGGTATAAATAGTTTATTGGTTTGAGCATGGATGTTCTTATTTTGGACATTTGGGCTAATGGATTTATGTTCCTAATTTCATGGCGTGGATATTGGTAGGAATTGATTGAAACTTCAGCATGAGCTCATGAACATACACCTTTGGCCAATTTGATTGATGGAGAGATAAACCAGTGGCCCTTTCTATTGTGCAAGCAAGATTGGTTGGATTAGCCCACTTTTCTGAAGTTTTTTTTTTTTTTTTTTCATTTATGTAGCTTTCTTGATTCCGGCTACATCAGGTAAATTTGATTTTGGCATTAGATGAATAGGGAATATAACCTACCATTATATGTGAATATATATATATATATATATATATATATATATATATATGTATGTATATATGTAAACTTATATATATCATAACCAACCTATATTCTGCAAAGTGACTTGCCAAAAAAACAAAAAAAAACAAAAGAAGAAGAAAGAAAACACCTAAATAAATAAGTTTTACTTTTCCTTCCTTCATGGATAATGAAAATTATGTTTATTAAAGCATCAATCTGATAGATTTCACTCGATGTTTATATTAATTTTAAATTTTGGTTATTCACTTAATGTTTGCAGATTGATATTTGAATTTTTATTTTAAGGAGAAAGAACACTGAAATTTTACGTGGAAAACCCTAAACGGAGAAACTACGGGACATTGTCCAACTATGAACAATCCACCATGAGAAGAACTGTTACAACAAGGCTAAAAGTTCCCTCACCTTAAAACTCCTAATTGCCTCTCAACACAAACCATAGCCAAACTCACACTCAGAGACTTCAACCCTTAAGTCCGCTCCGCCAAAGATTCTGCTCATGTTATCTGCTTCTCCACAGGTTTTTCAATCCTTCTGCTCTGATCTAGATCGATCAAATTACTCTTCAATAATTGTCGGATGATCTCCTTCTTGTTGATTACTCAATCACACATGTTGGTCAATCTATTGAAAATACTAGGATAAAATGATTTTCTCTCTCTAGAATAAGAGTCTCTCTCTAGAATGATTAGAGGCTCTCATCCTAGAATGATATAACTCTATATTTATAGCCAGAGGAGACTCGTCCTATATGATAAGTGACAAGTTGAATCCTTGTAGGATCCTAATTTTAGAGAGTTACCAAAAATAAAATTCTGCAAGGTTCAATTGACCGAGCCATCAATCAACAACTTCTAGAAACTGCTCAATTGTTCAATTCTTCTTTTGCGGCTTACTGGAGGTTTTAAAAAGAAATAAAAAATCAATTGATCCACCTTTCAATCGAGGCTTACTGGGAGAGCCCTCGGTCAATAGACGAACACCTTTTTCCAATAAAAATGTAATTTTAAAACCTGTTCATAAATCATCTATTCAAAAAACTAATTTTCAAAAACACATTTAATAAGTATTTTGTGCCTCCTCAAGAACCGGAAGCGAAGCACTATGTCGGGACAGGGGGACGGGAAAAGAAATGGCTCCGAAGAAAGAAATTGGGTTTTCCAATGCTAACGAGATGCGCCGATCTTTCTAAAGTCTGTTTACGTGCCTTAAATATGTAATTGAGCGTACAGATCATGCGCCATGTTCTCAATGAATCTTTGTATACATTATCTTCAACGCTTGTACTCACATTACTCATAACATTTTGGCACATTACAACCCAAGTTTTGAGTAGGAAATTGCCAACACATGACTGAAATTTTCAACACAATCTTCCATTCTGAACTTAGTAATAATGGTATGTTTGGTTGGAGGGAAGGATTGAAGGAGGATGGATGAGAGGAGGGATGGATAAACATTTTCGTGTTTGGTTGAAGGAAGGGAAGAGAGGGAGGAAACAAGAAGGGATGCTTCATCCCTCCTTCCTTTATGTTTTTCTATCCGCCCACTTTTGGGGGGAAGAGAGGAGAGAAAGAAGGCATAACTACCTTTAAATTTGTAATTTACAATTTTAACCTTTTCAAAAATTGTGAAATGACTAAACTGTCTCTTTTTTTTCTTTTTCTTTTTTTGTTTCTTCTTCATCATCACTGCCACCGGCAATGAAGCCAGTCGCCGCCTTCCTCGCGAGAGAGAAGCCAATGGTGATAGTGATCGATGACGAGGAAACAATGAGAACAACGGCGTGACTCCGGCAAAAATAATGCTAGTGAGAGCGATTCAGATTCAAAACACGAGGAATCATCCGGTGAAAGCACGGTGACGTAAATTAATCACCCACCTTCAAAATCCAATCAAAAGCCTCTCTTGTCACACTCAAATCCAATTCCCCAGTCCTTAATCTCTTGGGATAATCATCGCTGGGCAAATGCATTTAAATTTTTTTTTTTTGATAATTAACAAATGCATTTTCTCTCTCGCCCATTAAATAAAAACTCCCATCACTGAGCAATGGTAAACCAATCAATGGCTCTGATCTATCAATGCCAGAGACCAGGTTTGGATCATCTGTTTGATGGGTTTGGTCATCTGTGGCCACTGAATCAAGATCATTTGTTTGTGCTCTGTAAATCCTAGTGAAATCTCATCAAAATGAGATTGTTGAAACACAAATTTTTTTTTTTATATAATTTTTGGCATGTAGAATATAAACCCGGCGTTGGCCGCTCCGATGCAGTGATTGTTGTCAATGAGCCCGAAGTGTCCTCTGGCGCAAAAGAGGACCAGCCAAGCAATGCCGGAATGTCAATGAAGCTCGCCGATGGCTTTAGGGAAGACCGGCCAGCCCAATTCTGGCACCTGAATGAGGCGATGAGTTTCCATGAGCTGGCATGCATAGGTAACCAGCAACCGGCAATCGGGTATTGTACCGGTGACCAGTAATGAGTGGAAGACTGGTTGCTCCGGCATAGGAGCGAAGTTTCAGGCATTTTGGACACTTGGGTCGGTGGTTTTTGCTATCTGGTAAAGCTTCCTCCACCATGTCTATGGCTTTAGCTGCAGCTTTCTATAGTAAGTTCAATTGTTGGGGCTGTTTTGAAGGTATCAGCTGATGAGTCCTCTTTGGCTGGCATTGGGTACTGAAGCATTTAATTAGTTGCCGGCATCGGTTCAGTGTGTGTGTGTGTGTGTATATATATATATACATATAATATAAGGGCATTACTGGAAGAGATAAGGGTGTTTTCAGAATTTCATATACTAAAAGTGTCAAATTTATAACAAAACAGTGACCTCAAGCCCTTCTTTGCTCATTTTTTCAAACATAACGGACTTAATTTTTTTTTGATAAATCAAACATAACGGACTTATATACCCAACATAAAGGATAGGGGTGTTATTTGCCCAAAATGTAAACATTAGGGGTGTTTTTCTCACTTTACCCATAAGTTAATAGAGAGACTTCAAATATCAAGAATATAGTTTGCACGAGCTACAGACTCTAAGACTTTTATTAGTAAAAGAGACATAACCTTAGTACTTATCAAAAAAAAAAAAAAAAGAAAGACATAACCTCAGTTTTATAATGTCAATTGACTATCTAAGGCAGATGTTTCTTCCCAATTCTTGTTTCATCAAAGAATTAAAAGTCTTACAAAACAATGGTTAATTGGTGTTGTATGTGCAAGTAGCCGGAGGAAACAGTGAACCATCTCCTTCTTCATTGCCCAGTGCCGAGGGACGTTTGGTCTATGTTCTTAGTAGCGTTTGCCATGTTTGGGTGTTCTCTAGCTCGACCGTGGACATGATTGAGGCTTGGAGAGGGTGTATAGTGGAGAGCCGAGCCAGAGATGCATGGAGGGCCACTCCCCATTGTTTATGGCGGGGCCTGTGACGCAAGAGGAACAGGAGATCGTTTGATGGAGACGAAACTCATATTTGGTCTCTCAAATACAATATTTTGTCTACTTTATTCATTTGGGTATATGATCGTAATTGTAAATCTTTGGGGCATCTTTTGGGTTTTGTGGATTGCTTGAAATTATAGTGGCAGCCTTTGGCGCCTTGTGTATTCTCTTGGGAGTGCTCCCCTTTTGAGCACCTTTAATGAATTCTTATTTATCAAAAAAAACAAAGTCTTACGAAACAAAATTGAAGGAGAACAAGTGAACAACCTCTACCTATGCTATTTCTCCCACATGTACCATCCAAGTCTAAAAAACAAGTGCACAAATTATTCTGACACTATAATAATCACCTGGTATAGGTCCGCATATGTAATCTTCGGATGTTTAGACTTCACTTCCTCTGCCATCCAAAGTTAAAAAAACATCCATTAGAAAAAGTAATCAAAATTTTAACTTCAATCAAATTACTTCAGGGAAACAAAGATGATGAAATTTTTATCGAGTACATGATCAAACTAAAATTATCCACAAGTCTACAGATTAAATAAGTACAAAGCAGAACAGATATTTCAAACATGTTATATGGTAGTTTGCAATTTATTTCTGTAAATATATTGTCAAATATATATATATATATATATATATATATTAAATCATAAATTTGAATATCAACAAATTTTAAAATTCTATCAATGAATTTCTCCTATATGACAATATTTGTCTAATAATCTACCATGCAATAGTATCCATGTTACCTTTCAGACAATAATTCTTGTCATCAATGTCACTTCAATACTGTAATTTGACATAAAAACCTTATCGACCTGAATGTAACTGCTCCTTTTTTGAGCCAAATAAAGTAAAATTTGAAATCTAAGATATACCAATATTTTTTGGGAAAAAATCATCAGAATTCAATTCTTCATGATATGCTGGATACCAGATGGATATGTGGAGAATCCCTCGAAATAAACCAAATATTAGAATGGACTGACCAACAAAGTTAAATCATTTCTTTAATCATTCAAATCAATAAAAACTTTGTCAACTAAATGGGTATGTTTCAAGATGCTGGAGGCTACTAATGGCAGTGCAATATCATAAAATTTAAAAACCGAGTCTAACATAATTTTATTATTATTATTATTAAAATTAGATCTGAGAATATATTAATGAAAAGACAAAATAATCTCGATGCCATGATGTGTTGGAGATGTTCAAAGAAACAAAGGAGGTAAACTTTGAAGCGTAAGTTTCTGAATATTCCCGTATCTCATCTTTAGAGGATGCAAAGGTACAGTAGTTATGGTCCAGGGAGAAAATGCATTGGAATGAAAATTTCAATAGGTCTGAATAATTGAAAAATGGAGTGGCAAAGGCATTGTTTCTCAACTGTGCCCCCCAAAAATGTAGAATGCATTAGGAAGAATATCAACTGGAGATGGGATTGTTTGGTTGAACGATTATAAATAGGTTTTTTACCGTGCAAGGAAGTTTGGATACTGGAGCCCCTTTTATAGGTTTCTTTCTTCAAGCAGGTAGCATTTTGGGACAAAATCCTTATGGTGAATCATTTTAGTAATAGAGGATGAGCAATTCCCAATGGAGTTGTATGTGCAAGGAACCATGTAAGACAAAATTTGTGAACCATTTAGGAGCTCATCCCTTTACAATGAAAAATATTGTGCTAAATTTTTTACCATTTGGTTTTCAACTCATATTAGAAAGGTCAATATTTTATTGTGAGATTTTCCGGACAAGTCTTTAAGCCATGTTGCTAGATCATTCCAATGCTTGCTGGTCTTTATGTGAGAGTAATTCTTCTCTTTGTCCCTACTCCCTAAAGGAACCTCCTGCTTTTGTTCTTATCCTCATTTTGTTTCAAATACACATCTTTTACCCATAAAAAATAATTTGTTAAAAGAAGGAAACTCCTGTGTTTACCTTATTTAAAGTTTTTGCATACCAACACCTATATTTGCAGCTGGTATTTGAGCTAATCCCAGAGTCCCACCATAGAGCATAAACCAACCTTCACCACTACTTTGAAGTGCTAGCCCAAGCAACAACAGGTAGAGAACATATTCAACCTCTTAAATTTCTTCCTCTCATTTAGTTCACGCGAAATGCATGTGACCAAAAATAACAATTAAAAAATAGAATGGTAATCATGAAATAATTAGCTAATATAACAATGCACAACAATATTAAATAATTTAATGCTGTTTCAGTATTTTGTTATGTTACAATGGGATTTGTCTCTATCTAAATGTTATTTTTTAAAATTTGTTTGCTTGGACATTATTTATTCAAATCTCGAAAACATTGATTGCACTTAGAAGAAAAGGTAAAGTTCTTCCATTCTCTTAAAGATTAATTCAATATAATTTTGAAATTCAAACTATTGCCTAAATGTTGTGTAAAACACATAAGAGACGAAATACCACTTGTATCTCAAAGTTCTCTAAGAAAAACATTAATATTCAACAATCATTATTGAATATAATTTTTTTACTATTTGTATAGTAATTCAATAATTATTCATGCTCATTCAATTTCATTTTACATAAATGATGACAGGTATTATTTTACATAATTATATTGTGTAATGTGTGTGCTCATTTGCAAACAAATAATTTCAATAGATTTCGCAATCTTTCTTTCAAGTTGAATTGTTTATTGTTTACAGGAAGTAAGACGTGTTAAATTTCCAATTTTTACAAACATACATTAACAACATAATTTATTATTCTTATTATTATTTCTAATAGAAAGCAAACTAGTTCAGAAAAATAACTTCCAATACAATTCTTGTCTATCAATGAAGACCACCATCGAAGTAATTGGGCGACCACAATTTTCGTAAAGCAGGCACTTCTCTTAGTAAGTAGGTAAAGCTGACCACAAGCATCATTTTCTTCTTTTTTTTTTTATTTTATAAGTCCACAAACGTCATTTTCTAAAAGCAATGTGTGCCTCAAGTTATGTGTTTCACATAAGTTCCATGCCTCATAACTAAAGAAATGCTTTTTGAAATGCCTCATAGCTCAGGTCCATGTCACAAGATTGTAACCTATAAACAATATATTGTTTTTCATCAAGTCAAAATGAACAATTCTTCATCAATTTGCACTCAGTATTCCACTGTGATTATTAATAAAACTCATAGACACTGTAAAACAACATAATTTTCTTCTTTCAGATTACTTTTGACCAAGAAAGGTCATCAATGTGAAATGAGAATTCACAATTAACAAAGTCTGCACGCCAATACAAGTGCTTGTAACTTTTCCTCAAGTTCTTGCTTCTCATTAACCAATTTAAAGTGGATATATAAATCATCCAATGTGTGAGATATAAATTTTGTAATAGGCTAATTTCATTGTCAAAACGTGTCCAATCCAGTTGTAATTTTTATTTGACTTTGAATCTTGATGTCGGAAGCAGAACTACAAGTGCACTGCAACCTTGGTCAATCATACTTTGATTCAATGAGAACATCATTTAGAGAAGGGTATGTTGTGTGAGGACACTTTATCTTTTAAGTTTGGTGAGGTAGGACTTAGGAAAAACTTGTTTTTATCGAAAAATTCAAAATTTGTAATAGTCCGACCAGTCCAACTTTTTCCCATCGTTCGCACTTCATCAAAATGATTTACTAAAGTTTTTCTTGAAATCTGTAAAAGTCCAACTGGTCCAAATTTGTCCGACCGGTCGCACTTGTCGAAATACCCGTTGTGTTATAATCTGGGCAAGTCTGACCGGTCTCACTTTTTCGGACCAGTCGCGCTTTCCTTTTTGCGCCAAACTTCTTAAGATGTCCTTGTACAACTTTGTCTTTTTTTCCAAGCTACATAAGGACTCTCAAATGGTCAAACCCCTATAAATACTCTTCTTCCCTCATGAAAATTAAGAGCTTAGAGAATATAATTTTTACAATTAAGAACGCTTTTTTAGAGTATTTTCCACAGAAAATCATCCTTGATTTTTTTGTATGTTTTTCTTTATTTAAGAGCACACACTATTACACAAGAGTGAATTAGGTTGGTGTTCACTTTCTGATCAGAGTCCGAGAAATTTAAGGATTGATACAAATTCCGTTCAAAGAACCAGGGTTTTGTTTTCCCTTCACAAATTCAGAGTTGAAGGAAGGAGGATTCGATCGTGCTACGAAAGGGACAAAGCATTAGTGGAGTGTTCGTATTCTTCCAACTACCTTTCTACAAGGATTGAGGAGTAAGTCTGGAGTCTAGAGTGTTTGGACAGGGGAATTGCAAGGCCAGAGGCATTCAGCAACAAGTTCTTGGTAGAGCGAAGTGGGTGTGAGCCTAAGACAGAGTATGTACTTTGTTTCAAGATACTAGTTCGTTTCGCTTCAAACTGCGAAAGTCTCTGTAGTTTTCGTCCCATATGGTCAAATTTCTTCCAACAAGAGTTTCCACACTAAAAACCTGGTGTCAATCTCTAACTCTCAATTTACTTTACTGGCACTTTATTTTTGCTTTGTGGGTTTGCTGTTAATTTTATTTCGGTAAAAATAAAATAGGCAAAAGCTTAGACAAAAGGACTCATAAAAAATAAAAATAAATAAAAACAGACAAAAGGGCAAGTTAAACCTATTCACCTCCCCTCTAGGTATTTTTCCAAAGTTTTATTCCGCATCCATTCCGTATAGCACAACTCACACAATGTCATCTTATTCACACATTCTTTCTGGTAAGTATAGCATCATTATTGACATATGCACGTGCACAAGTGCATACAAACTAGCAATGCTTGTGGGTGATACCCTAGTAACTCATACATACAGATATAAGAGAATATAAATATACTCTAATGTTTTAGTTTTCTGTTTCATTTTTACACTACATAATTATTTGGAACATAAGATAGTGTGAGGCTACGTCACGCAATTCAGTCCTAATGGATTTTGACTTAGTAATCAGAAGTCTAACACCATTCTTTGCCTTTGTTTCATAAAATACAATTAAAAGGCATTTAGTCAAGAAAAGCAATTTGTTAGTTGAATGAAAGCATCATATAATAATGGCACTAAGGTTTGCATTACGAAAATCATCGTAATGATACAACAATTTATTTTCCTATGTGAAAACAAATGCAGTTCTTAAACATTTCCAAATAGCAAATTTGAGTTTTCTTCTGTGCAAATTAACCATGGTTGGGAGCCTATCTAACATCACAAAAGTAGCATTTACAGACCACCTTGGCCAACACTTACCCCAGCAGCTGCAGCCAGGTGTTCTCTCTGTTTGCATGATAGAGATACTAGAGACCACATCTTCTTCTCCTGTCCTTTTGCTCAAGAGGTGTGGAGATGGGCTATTACTATGCTGAACAGGGATTTGTCTACTTTTGGTGGTGGAACTCAGCTAGGGGATTGGTACTCCTGGTTTTGGCAGCAGCAACATAATTCCAAGATCATTCGAAGCTACTTTGTGGCTCTAGTATAGGGTATATGGCAAGAGAGGAATGCACGACTTCATGGGACTACTGATACACCTCCAGAAGTGGTGGCTAGGAACACGTTATTTGAAGTATTAGATGTCCATCATGTATCACTATCTAATTTCCTGGTGTGGGCATCATGTTTTTACCTTTTTGGTTTATTGGAAGTGGGCTTTCTCAATATGAGATGTACACTTTAATTGATATGTCTTGACTGGGGGATGCCCTCTGTGCACCTGTATTGTTTGTTTTTTCTAATACATCACCAATTATTAAAAAAAAATATAGCAAATTTGATGTGTAATAGGTTCTAAAACCTTTAAGTCCAACCCACTTTGGGCAATTTGATTCTTATATTCATTGGCCCAATTTTATTCCATTGGCCCATATTTATCTAGTCTAATTTCATTTTTCAGTCAAATTTCATAACTAGAAATATTTTGAATCTTCAATTACAAAATTAAAAGTAATGCTACCAAAAAGTCATGTTTTTGCACAACTTCAATGGATAAAGTCCAACAAGGACTCTTGTCAGCATTTAAAAAAGAATAAAATCTCTCTCCTAGGTGCTTATCACAATCATTGATTACCACATCAAACAGTTCAAATAACGATTGTCAAGTTTATCATTTTTCCAAAATTGATGGCCCTTTGACTGCCAAAAATTTAGCCCACAGTTTAATGTGTTCGTAATTATTGGCAGACCCTACAACCGTATAAAGGGCTCGCTAATTTTAAGATTTCACACACAAAGAATCCTACTTACCTCTCACGTTTTTATTTCTCTCTTTCTCTTGAGCTTTCAATCTATTATCTATATCTTCTACATATTTTGGAGTTTCATCCGGGCATCTTTAGTTACTTCAAATGCCCCAACAGTAGAGTTGTTTCGAGATTCAGTTGGGTGTTTGTACCTGCACGATAAGCAGGACACTCTTCCTTTAGGAAAACACAATCTGCATGCCTCACCTTTCTTCAAGCAAATTCTTGACTTTAGGTTTTGTTAATTTTATGTTTATCCATTTACCTTAATTTTAGAATTTTTATTAGTAGTTCATTCTGCCAGGCCAGTTCTTGACTTTAAGTTTTGTAAATTTTATGTTTATCTATGTGACTTAATATTTTTAGAATTTTTATTAATTGATCTATCGTATAATTTTCCACCATATTCTTGTTAATTTATATTCATTGTTGTTAAGAACTTAAGATACTTTATCTAACTTGCAAGAGAAGAGATTAGTATAAATTCTACCCAACAAAATTACTCAACTAGCAACTACTTAAGCAAACAAATATACATACATAACTCCTCTCATAACCATATAATTGTATCAATCTCATGTATAATTTTCCCAATAATAAAATCAAACTCGAAATAAAATAAAAAAAAATAAAATAAAAGCATTACCGCAAAAATCAATGGCAATTTTCAAGCCATTATTTGATCCATGAGTGTACTCTTCCTCATTCCTGATCGAGCCATTAGGGCCACCTGTCTTCGTATTAACATCATACGTACCAGCGTCGTGCCACCTAAAAAGAATACAAAGATCACAGAATTATTCAATTTTGTTCACAAATTTTCTCAGGAACCAATCAGAGTGATATGTGTGTATAGATAGAGAGAGAATGTGTGTGTACGCCAAGCGAAGCATGATGGGAGCGCAGTTCTTGTTGGAGATGAAAGCGCGGAGATCACGACGAGCCTTGTCGATTTCTTTCAGATACTCCGTGTCGACGATAGGTTTCGCCATTGAAATTCTCTCACTACTACTGGAAATGATGAGAGAGAGATGAAAAGGAAATGGATTTTGATTGGTTTCGAAGGAGTACACGGAATGGAGTTGTGGAAGCGAGACCACTGATATAAGATTAGCCCGGTAGACAGAGTGGTGATCACACGCGCTCATGCTTCGCTAGGACTGCTTTGAAAACTAGTACGTGATAGATTTTTTATTTTTTATTTTTTATTTTTTATTTTTTCCTCCGATAATTAAAACTCAAACATACGGCACCTTTATGTTGAGAAAAAAATAAAAATCAAAGTATCGGAACTAATAATCATTAACTAATAATAACTCATTCCAACTAAGAAAAGTTGTGAGCATCAATGTTCATGTTTTTTAACAAAATATTACCTGAACACTTGTTTATTAGAATCTATATTTGTTTGTAATCAATTTTTCTACTTATTTCATATGTCAATATAAATAAATGTCAATATAAATAAATGTGTACATATATGATATATTCTTCCAAAATCTTTGACAATGGTTCCTTTTTTACTTTCTCCTAATGTGTTTTCATGATACAAAAGGTGATAATGGGTCAAAACGGTACTTTCTCAGGCCATATGTATCAGTCTTTTCAGATTTTGACTCTCCAAAAATGTCACTTTCGCTTTTTTAAGAGCCACATCAGTAATTCGTTAGCAGCTCTCCTAATTTTCGCTCTCCAAAAAAAAAAAAATTTAATTAAATTTGTTTTTTTTTTTTTTTTTTTTTAACTGATCGTAACAACTATATTTCTTATCTTATATAATGAATACTCATTTGCTCATCTGAAAATCATCACTGCATTCATCTCTTTCCATTATAGCAAAATATCATTATCCGTCTTTTTCAATTTTGAAATTTTAATGGCTTCGTCATCATAAGCTTTTTTTTTTTTTTTTTTTCCTAGTTGGTACTCACACACACATGCTTCCACTGAGGTTCGAACCCATGACCTCCCTTTTAGAAGTAGGTGTTGGAAACGGGCCATACAAAATAGAAACTTTGGAGTAGATTCCACTAAGAGTTTTTTGCAGATCTAGAGACGAACTTGTTCCTCTCCATAAGGAGATGAACTTAGTATATTCACTTTCTCAAATTCGTATCCGGGCGAATGAGAAATTAGCTCCAAAGTGAGGTGGTTGATAAACCTAAATGGGTATGCAAAATGTGGGAAGTACTTGTCCCACATGGAAAAATGTTGAAACCTATTGAAGTTTAAATCAACCAACTTTAAGACTTGGGTTTAGGCCTAATGGCACCCAAGTTTTTAAGAGGGGGAGGACCTAAGCAAGCTTGGGTCCAAACTGTTTACCAAACACGCGTGCGCCCTGCCCAATCCAGGCTTGGGTTTGATTGTGAAGTTCGATTAATTTTTTATTAAATAGAATTTGGGCCTGTGTTTGGATTTAATTAAATTTTTAGCCTGGGCTTATTTAAATTGGTTTGGGTTGAATCTAAATTAAAAAACAACTTTTTAGTTTTTTCCAAAGGGTTGCACCTACCCGAATAGGTAAAAACCACTTTTTAGTTTGTTCTAAAGCGTTGCACCTACCCGAAAAGGCACCTTGTTTAAAAATCACTTTTTAGTTTTTTCCAAAGGGTTGCACCCACCCAAAAAGGCATCTTGTTACCTACAAATACCCCCCTTTGTATCAATTACAAATCACTCCATTCAGAATTCTCTTTTCTAATTCTGAATTCTCTTCCTACTTCTCTCTTCTTCTAGAATCAGATTTTAGTATGTGGGTTCGAGCTTTAGTCTGTGGGTTCGAGCCTTAGTCTATGAGAGAGTACTACACCGAGCCGGTTCACCTATTTCTTCGGTTTACAGTGTTACTACCAAAGGAAGACAAATTGTTATATCTTGGGAGATAGACGTCACTGAGTCTGTTAGCACCATAACGACGCGAATCTATAGTGAGGACATAGAATCAAATTCTAGCCTCGACTTATAACCAGGTTCCTTTATTTTGTATATTCTTATTTTATTATATAAAACTATATATTATAAGAAATTATATATACATATATATATATATATATATTATTTTATAATAATAATAATAATAATAATAATAATATATATAGACACACATTATATCTTTACATAATATTTAAATAGTAATACTATAATATATGGTATACTTAGACCATTATTTTGGACAACAATCTTAAGACAGATTCTGCTTCAATATAGTATTAATTATTTAACTATTATTATTGTAATTATATTGTTGTAAATTGACTTGTGGTCTGTATATTTAATATATAACAGATGAATGGCACGTACGAGTACTACTATGCCTAATGTTCCTATCAGTCATAGGGAGAAGCCCGAAAAATTTAATGGGGCGGAGTTTAAAAGGTGGCAACAGAAAATGATGTTCTACCTTACAACTCTGAATCTAAGCAAGTTCCTAACTAAGACTGCCTCAGTACTAAAAGAGGGTGAGACTGACGTTACAAAGGTATGAGCTGTTGATGCATGGAAGCATGGAGATTTCCTATATAAGAACTACATCCTTAATGGATTAGACAACACTTTATATAATGTGTACAGTCCAATAAATACTCTTAAAGAGTTCTAGGAGTCACTAGACAAGAAGTATAAAACAGAGGATGCTGGTTTGAAGAAGTTCGTGGTCGGACGATTTTTGGACTTCAAAATGGTAGGCTCTATGACAGTCATGAGCCAAGTGCAGGAGCTCCAGCTAATCCTACATGAGATACATGCTGAAAAAAATGATATTGAGTGAATCTTTTCAAGTGGCTTCAATCATTGAAAAATTGTCACCTACTTGGAAAGATTTAAAAAATTACTTAAAAACATAAGCGCAAGGAAATGGGGCTCGAAGACCGATTGTCAGGCTAAGAATTGAAGAAGATAACTGCATATCTGAAAAGAAATTCGAGAATTCTTCAATGGTGTCAAAGGTAATTGTAGTGGAAGTTGGGCAGAAAAATAAGAAGAGGAAACACTCTAGAGAAGGTCCCAGCTAAGGAAACTACAAGAGGTTCACTGGGAAGTGCTACATATGCGGCAAGCTAGGACACCAAGCTAAAGACTGTTGTAGCTGCAAACCACAACTTAACTCCAAGAAAAAGACCATTGAGGTGCACATTGCTGAGGACGATAAACTGATAGCTGATGTGTTAGAGCTAAATCTTTCAGCTATGGTTTCTGAAATCAACCTTGTGAGCAACAATAGAGAATGGTGGGTGGACACAGGGGCAACTCATCATGTTTGCTTATAAAAGAGGATGTTCACTACATATGAAGCTATAGATAATGAAGAATAACTCTACATGGGAGCTCTCCTACTGCAAAGGTTGAAGGACAAGGAAAGATTAAGCTGCTAATGACCTCGGGGAAAGAGCTCACTTTGAATAATGTGCTGCATGTACCAAATATCAGGAAGAACTTGGTCTCTGGATCACTCCTAAGCAAGGATGGGTTCAAGCTGATCTTTGTATCTAATAAGTTTGTGCTTACTAAAAATAAGGTGTATGTGGGCAAAGGGTACCTGAGTAATGGATTATTTAAATTCAATTTAATGAATATTGTACCCAAAGCTATTAATAATAATAAAGTGAATGCTTCTGCTTATATAATTGAGTCATCTGATGTGTGGCATGGTAGGTTAGGACATATTAATTATGATATGATTCATAGATTAATTAACATAGATTCTATACCTAAAGTTAATATTGATTTAAATAAAAAATGTCAAACATGTGTAGAAGCAAAATTAACTAGAACTTCATTTCACTCCATAGAGTGAAGTACTAAACCTCTAGCATTAATTCACAGTGATATCTGTGACTTTAAATATGTGCCAACTAGAGGTGGAAAAGAGTATTTTATTACTTTTATTGATGATTGCACAAGATACTGTTATGTATACTTGCTAAGAAGTAAAGATGAAGTCTTGGATATGTTTGAACATTACAAGAATGAGTTGAGAATTAACTTGGGAAAAAGATAAAGGTATTTAGAAGTGATAAAGATGGTGAATACGAAGTACCATGTGCTGATATTTGTTCAGAACATGGTATTATTCATCAAACTACCACTCTTTATTCACCTTAACAGAATGGTGTTGCTGAACGCAAAAACCGTACCTTAAAAGAAATGATGAATGCTATGTTGATAAGTTCTGATTTAACCCAAAATTTGTGGGTGGAAGCTTTACTTTCTGCAAATTATATTCTCAACAAAATACCTCAAAAGAAAACAAATGTGACACCATATGAATTATGGAAAGGTAAAAAACCTTCCTATAAATTCTTAAAAGTGTGTGTGTCTAGCTAAGGTTGCGGTTCCTACTCCTAAGAAAGTTAAGATAGGACCAAAAATATTTGATGGTATTTTCATAGGATATGCATAGAATAGTAGTGCATATTGTTTTCTTGTGCATAAATTAGACATTCCTAACATCCATGTCAATACAATTATTGAGTCAAGGTGTAATGACCCAGTCATTTTCTTCCTTTTCCTTTTTCCTCAAATTTTGCGGATAAATTTTTTCCGCTGTCTTTTCTTTTCTATGGATGGTTTTTCGTCACTTAGTGTCGTCTTGAGTGCTGGGAAATGGTTTCTGAGACTCTTTTCCGTGGATTGACAACTTCATTTAAGGACCGAGTTATTTCCACAATTTTCGTTTTTCGACACTATTCACTTCTTTGTCCTTATTCCTGTTTCGTCCTTTTCCCTATTTCGTCTTTTCCCCGTTTGTCACTTTGTTGGCAAAACCTCAATTCTTGTGCTCGGAGTTGGTTTTTGACTTCACGTATCTTTATCGTGAGTGGTTTCCACGAAATACGTATCTTTACTTTTGCAGGAAAGTACTCTGGTTGCTCCTGGTATCCATAGGGGCATGGATGCATAATTCTTTAAAATTAATTTCTTTTCTTGGGGAGTTTTTCATAAATATCTTTTGAAGATATTTTATTTCAGGGGTATCTAAGAAAATATCTTTTGGAAGATATTTTCATTCTGGGACAGTTTTGTAGTTAACCCTTTTTGTGGGGGCAATTGTGCAATTCATGAAAGTTGTTGCAAATTATCTTAT